AGTAAAATTATATAAGTTTATAACTATGTTAAAAAGCCATAGGGCCATAAGAATTTTTTTTTTTTTTTCTTGAGACGGAGTCTCGCTCCGTGGCCAGGCTGAAGTGCAGTGGTGTGATCTCAGTTCACTGCAATCTCCACCTCCCGGGTTCCAGCAACTCTCCTGCCTCAACTTCCCAAGTAGCTGGGATTACAGGTGTGCACCACCATGCCCAGCTAATTTTTGTATTTTTAGTACAGACAGGGTTTCACCATGTTGGCCAGGATGGTCTTGATCTCCTGACCTCGTGATCTGCCTGCCGCAGCCTCCCAAAGTGCTGGGATTACAGACATGAGCTACTGTACCTGGCCAGGAATTTAATTTTTAAGTTTATTTCCACCCCCCACCCCCTCCACCTGCAACCAAGACAGAATCTCACTGTGTTGCCCAGACTGGAGTGCGGTGGTGTGATCTAGGCTCACTGCAACCTCCACCTCCTGGGTTAAAGTGATTCTCCTGCCTCAGCACCCTAGGGTAGCTAGGATTACAGGTGTAATCCACCATGCTCAGCTAATTTTTGTATTTTTAGTAGAGATGGGGTCTCACTGTGTTGCCCAAGCTGGTCTCGAACTCCTGAGCTCAAGTGATCCACCCACCTCAGCCTCTCAAAGTGCTGGGATTATAAGCATGAGCCACCACACCTGGCCTTAAGTTTAATTTTATTGTCTGCTCCCCAAATTACTGCTTTTACAATTCTGTAACTATGCATGAATCCAGAATTATAAGAATTTTTTTTTTTATTTTCTAGGAATAACATAGTACATAAATAAGTGTACTAAGTACACTTTATTTTGCCTAAAAAAGTTGTTTACCTCCAGTAAGGATATCTGCTTATTTCATATTAAATAAAAAGATTAAGAATGTATGATGATATGAGTATAGTGAAACAGCCCAAATTGCAAAATGCAAGACAACTAATAGCCCAGTTTTGGTCCTGCTCTTACCACATACTGTAATGAACTTATTGATATGTTGGATAACACCAAAGTCTATCTTAGATCCCTCTGGTAAGAAGTAGAAACCACTCAAGTGTCTATTCACTTGTTCTTCATTTAACAAATGTTTGTTTCCATTGATGAGTAATGTACTACAATAGATGCTAAATTGTATAATCTTGGTACTTTTAAAACCCAATCCAACATCTATTCAATACTAGCTTCCCACTGTATTTCTGTTGAAGACCTGTACTCCAGCATTACGAAAAATATTTGTCAAAGCCATCTGTTATTGTATATGTCTCATGTGGCTCTATGATGAAAATTTCATAGAAGTGAACATTTTGAAAGATGAACCTATCTCAAATCATACATGTTGAGAAACATTTAGTTAATTTTCTAGGAACATTTTACTCAGAACAGAAAAATTTCATGTGCATTTGTTATATGAACCTAGTGTTGTGATTATAAATATACTACTAGGCATGAGTAAAGGAATTTTTTTCTCCACAAAAGTCACCTTAGCCCGGATGTAGATATGCTCTCATGTAAGTGATTTGCTTAAGTGAGAATTAAGATGAAATATTTAGCTTGTGTGACTACCAGTTAAACATTTTGAGTTATTTTTATATGTCATTTTGTTTTTATGTAAGATCATGCAAATGTACTTAAAAGAACTGTACAAATACACATCTTTCAGAATGTAATTTACCTTAAATTTTTAATTATACGTATTTGAAGAAATCACTTTATTTTTCTATAACTCCAAAATTATGGCTAAACAAGAACTGTAAGTTTAAAGAAGTAAAAAAAAAAAAAAAAAAAAAAATAGAAGTAGCGGGTTATCAATCACCTCTATGGACTTTAGCATCTGGAATTTAGTTCATTGACTATTCCACATGGTGGCAGTAGTATAGTATGGAATAGGAGAAATGAAACCATTTACAATTCCAAGTAGAAATTTGTGTACACAAAAATTATTTTAAACTTAACCAATACATTATGTATACACACTATACAATATGTAATGTGAATGTTTATGAAATCAATGAAGTTAAAATTCTTATGGAATTAGCTTAAATGTACAAAGAAAAGACAAGTATAGCACTAAGGAATGAAATTTTTTTATTTTAATTTTTTACTGTCATATGAAGAATGTGTGTAAGGTACTACAGTAGATCCTAAGTTTTGAATGACTTATATTAAACTTTTTTCTCAACTGAATATATATTTATAAGATCATTATAGAAAGCTCTAAGATAATCTATATAATCCATAAAATCATTAAATACCAGTGTGCGTATGTGTTTGTATGTGTGTGTATGTATATACATATATATACATAAACCCAAGACAAAATGATCTTGGGTATATTAGATTGTGTAAATATTGTAATGGTAAGGCAGTTGTATAAATTATAAAGAAGGCTGCATTTGCAGTTAGGATTTTACTAAACACTTGGAATAAAATTTCAGGAAAATAATATCTTTAAAAATCTCTACAAGGCAAATGAAAATTGAGAAAAGGGGTACAAATTATACATTGATGATATGGGAATGATTCAGTTAGTTAATGCATCTTACATTTAAGTAGCCAAGAACCTATGTGAGAAAAAGAACAAAAAGAGTTTGGCATGTTTCAAAAATTATAATTAAAACTGACAGAATGTGCACTACCCCCAGCCCTGATCCCAAATACCTTAATTTTGAAAACTTCTGAGGGGTCCATGTAAGCAAACACATAGAAGTTAAGTGAAACTTTTATAGCAAAATAAATAAAGCAACAAGCTTTTTTTTTTTTTTTTTTTGCCTAGTGTTTATTTGGACTATTTGAATGATAACATCAGTTAAATAATCATATGTGTGAATCTGAGTGTAGCCTCGATGTTATTAGAAATGCTTGCCTTTCTGAGACATAGATATAAGATTCATATAGTCTTGTTTATTTTTTTACTGAAAGTATTTTATGAAAAATGTTTTACTGGATGATTGTTGTGGTAACAGGAACTTCTAGACAAAGCCATGCTTCAGTTGAAAATTAGAGGTATGGGTTCAAATGTTAGTTGTGAGGGGGAACTCCCAGTGCTTTCTGGAGCATCTGGACTGTTTCCCTGACTTGAATTAATTTGATGATTGTTTAGGGTATGGCATTTAAATTGAATTATCAGTTAGGGTGGTCAACCTGCTTATAAAAATATTTCCATTTAGAAGTAAGCTCAACTATGTAAGCAGTAACCCTACGTTGAAATTTATAGACAGACCCAAAAATGACCTAATTGATGAATTAAAGAAAATGAAACCATTGCATTTTGATTGGGAATTCCTGGAGAGAAAGAAAGATTGAGAGAGAGAAAAAAACCAACTTCTATCATTCACTTAGAAACAGTCATTTATACTTACAATTTGAAGTATTTAAAACTCGGATTATGTTCATCATGTGGCTTCTTACATAACCAGCTAAGGCAAACCTGGATGATGTAAGAGTGGCTCGCCTAAAACCTTACAAATGAAATAGCAACATCCCTGATGTACGTTTTGGCGACAGGGATTGTAATAATGTGATCTGTGTGGCCAAGACCAGTGAAAGAACAGAGAACAGATGTGAAATCTCTTTTGAGATTTGTGCTCTGAAATCATGTGCAACAGTTAAAAGACATAAAACAATTAGAAAATGTCCATTCAAATAGTCAATCAACATGAATTAAGGAAAAGCTCTTAACATAGTTCAAACTGGAATTTGAACTCATGGAAAAGTGATTTTCTGCACGTCTATATTTAGAAATAGCTAAAATGTTGGGTTGAGAGTGTTGGTTTACTTAGATTACTAAATTAGTAAAAATCAATATATGAAAAAATCATTTTATTAAGTATAGGTTGACCTCATGGAATTTACCTTTTATACTTTCACACTATTATTTAAATTTAGTGGCTTTCAATAAATACTTAAATTATAAAAACTCTCCATTGATTTTAAAATATTTTCATACTTTGTAGCATGTTAGGAACAGTCAATATTTTGGTTATATTTAAAAATCGTAGGAGCTTACTTACATGTGTCAGCCAACTTTTATAGAAAATAAGTAATATACTAACAACATAATCATATGTGTGCATCCTAATTATTTCCATGGTGAAAACCACCACAGAGTTTAATTGCCTTAAGCAACTTTGAAGTACAATGACCTTTCTGAATAGTTTTTCATTACTACATACCTATGAAATAGGGAAATAAACTTTTTTGCAGTGGCTCGCTATGTAGATAACATGTGTAACCATGTAAGACAGGTGAAGTGAGGTTGGACTTCAAAGATGTATTTTCTTTTCTTTTCTTTTCTTTTCTTTTCTTTCCTCCCTCCCTCCCTCCCTCCCTTCCTTCCTTCCTTCCTTCCTTCTTTTCTTCTTTCTTTCCTTCTTTCCTTTTTTCCTTCTTTCTTTCTTTCTTTCTTTTTTTGAAACCGAGTTTCACTCTCATTGCCCAAGCTGGAGTGCAATGGCACAATCTCGGCTCACTGTAACCTCCACCTCCCAGGCTCAGGCGATTCTCCTGCCTCAGCCTCCCAAGTAGTTGGGATTACAGGCATGTATTACAAAGTCCAGCTAATTTTTGGTATTTTTAGTACAAACGGGGTTTCACCATGTTAGCCAGGATGGTCTCGAACTCCTGACTTCAGGTGATCCACCTGCCTCGGCCTCCCAAAGTGCTGGGATTACAAGCATGAGTCACCGTGCCTGGCCATGAAAGATGTACTTTCTGTGAATGAAACATTAGTCATGCTCCTGCCTGAGGAATGGAATATGCAAGAGGACACTTAGGTACAAATTTAAATGTAGCAACTGGAGTCTATGTTTACAGTAGGTTATATGATTTTCCTCCGGTCCCTTTCTGAAGTCTTTACTGACCTCAGTTTCTCTTGTCGTATCATTCAACCAGAAAACACTCTTTTTAATAGAAATTTTAGCTGTTTTATTTTGCCATTCAATTAAATTTTATTAAGCCTAATGAATACCTATTTTTCAATTCATCCAGGTACGTGTATTCACGTTTTCAGTTGGTCAACACAATTATGACAGAGGACCTATTCAGTGGATGGCCTGTGAAAACAAAGGTAACAAATCTGTTTTCTTCTAGTAAACTAGAAGAAAAAATATTTTGGTAGCTGTTATTAGGTGTGCTTATTTAAAATAAGCTACAGCTGTAGCTAACTTCTATAAGAATCAGGCAAGAGTAAGATTATGAACATGTTTCTATAGAGAAAACACATACAAATTTTGACATTAGCATTACATTATATGAAAATTCAGACATTGATTATATTTCCACATTTATAAAATAATGTATTACACTGAATTACATTGAATGATATATATATCATATATAATCTTACATGAAAAATTAGGAATGAAACAATATCTGAATTTCATAAAGCTTAAATATGAGAGTATGACATATATATTTTTTTCTCTGGGTGGTTTAATTACTGTTTTTGAAAAATCTTATACGTTCCAGGATAATTCAGATGTTGTGCAGTGAGCTCATATTTTCACTCGGAAAGAATGATGTTACTGAGAAAAAAATATATTAATTTGAAAAATGAACTGTGATGCCATGGCAAGAAAAAGAACCTAAATTTTTTCTGAAAGTTATATTTAGGCAAAGATTTTATATAAATATAATAATTATCCATCATGTATCTTTAATAATTTATCCAATGAAAAAATATTTTTAATGATTCCATGTTTCTTATTCCTTCGTAGAAGAATAATACCTATTTTATAATAACTAAGAAATGTAGTGAAATTTTTCACAAAGCCTGTGTGTTTGTTGTGAAGATTCATTAACCATTTTCTTAATTTTGATATTTTAGTATTAGTTCAATTTTGAAGTGAAATATATTATTTTCAAAATACTCTTTATGAATATTTATAAAATAAAATAATTTTGTGGCCCTTTATTATAAAGTAACATTTATATATAAATATATATATGTCTATTTCAGGTTATTATTATGAAATTCCTTCCATTGGTGCAATAAGAATCAATACTCAGGTATGATTATTTAAAGCTGGTTTAAATTTTTTTTTCAAGTATAAGATACTTCTTTTCTGGTTTAAATATGCTCAATATGGAGAAAATTAGTAAGAATGAAAAGATCTGTAATATTACACTTATATTAAAATACTGAGTATCTTGGTGATATATTGGTTTTATTTTATTAACATTGCAAGTGTTTTCAAACATCCAAAACTCAGGTAAATAAAATGAATATATTGTTACTCTCAGATGTTAAAAATATCATAGAAAATACAGAAAATCAAATTTTCTAAAAATACACTTCATGTAATTTGAACTTGATTCTGCAAATGATTTTTTAAAGTTTCTTCAAATTGTAGGTACCATGTATAAAATTAAACACTTATTATGCTGGAGAAATTGTACAGGGACCTAGTTGGAACTTAAATACCTCCCAAATAACCCCTGTGGATCTATTTATCTATCTAAAATAAAGTTACAACAAGGAGATGATTTTTCTAACATCATTCAGTTGAAATCACGCCTGTTAAATAACTTTTTGTAGAATGTAGTAATTAAGTTAATTTAAATATTTATTATTTTAAAATAATCATAAATTACTATGAAAATTGCTACTCCTTTTTAAACACAGTTGAAGATCTACAAAATAAACAAAGTCAAAATTTAGCATAAATAACATGGCATTTGTGGAAGTGAATACTGAATACATTGAATGTTGAAATGAAACAGCAGCTGCATTTGAGTCTGATGTCTAGATTTGGCACAGTATTTCCTTTATTTTTTGATGTGTTTAAATGTAGTTTTGAATTTCAGCCAAACAATCTGTGATATGAAAGAAAGTATGTGGCTGCTTTATGATTTTAAATTTCTGCAATTCCACGCAGTAAATCACAGAGCCTTAAATAGTTTAGATTAACATGAAACAATTCACAAGGAACGTATTTCACTTATTGGCTGTAACACAGAAAACAATGTTCTGATTGTTACTGGAAAAAAGCTTGGGTAGATACATTGTATAAATAATATAAGTCAAATATTGTTGATTCAAAATACGTAGCCATACCACTTAGGGAGTATCCAAAATAGAAATTAACTGATTATATATTCAGTCTCAATAATTTTGGTTCTATATTCATTTTTAACTCTAGGATTTTTTTTCTCTGTAATTTTTATTACAACACAGCATTCCTAGTTTTAACCACAACTTTTTCTTTTTTTCACAAACAGGAATATTTGGATGTTTTGGGAAGACCAATGGTTTTAGCAGGAGACAAAGCTAAGCAAGTCCAATGGACAAATGTGTACCTGGATGCATTGGTAAGAGGTTGAGCTGTTCAGTCAAAGACTTTCAAAACAAAAGCACACAGATGATTTCTACTTCTTTCTAGATGATGTCTCTGTTTTCCTTTTCATTAAACCCTCACCCAAATTTCTTATATCACAGACCTGTTTCCTAGAATTTACATAATTTACATAAAAACATAGATTTGTATGTAGTAGAGAACTACAAATACAAAGTGTTAGCTTATTGTCTACTTGATCCCTTCATTGAGAATGTAGAATTTCCAACCTGGAATGTTGAACACATGGGCATTTCAGTAAGTTTTTAAATTGTTAATGTAAAAAAAAAGATGAAAGTCTTCGTGAACTAGAATCTATTTTTGCAGATTTTGAACAATAATTTAGAAGAAAGTATCTTTAAAGTATAGGAGCTAGTAGAAGCATAGAAGCATGTCTAGCCTCCACAACTATAGCTGAATCTGCAAAACTCAGGAATACATGCTGTTAGATAGGCAAAAACTTTACCCTATACTAAAATCATCACAAACATCTTAATATATTAGTATAATCTTTTGTGCCAGATTCAACTTCAGACTTTTTATGGAAATATGTCATTGAGATGATCACATCTGGTGTGAAACCACACATGTTAAATTGCCCATTGAACAACTGACATTTCAGTAAAGATACGTCATTATATTTAAAAGCAGTGGTTCTCAACAGGGGGGTCTTTTTGCCCCTTACAGTTCATTTGGAAAAAACTCTGTAGACATTTTTGATTGTCATGGCTTGAGGGGAGGGGTTGCTACTGGCATCTAGAGCAAGCTTGTCCAACCTGTGGCCCAGGACGGCTTAGAATGCAGCCCAACACAAACTTTTACACTTTCTGAAAACATTATGAATTTTTTTTTTTTTGCTCTTTTAAAAATCTCATCAGCTATTGTTAGTATTAGTGTATTTTAGGTGTGGCCCAAGACAATTCATCTTCTCTCAGTGTGGCCTAGAGAAGTCAAAAGATTGGACACCCCTGAGTGGATAGAGGCCAGGCATGCTGTTAAACATCCTTGAATGCAGAGGAAAACTGCCCACCACACACAACAAAGAATTATCCCTCCAAAAACGTCAATAGGGCCAAAGTTGAAAATTGTTTAAATGTAATTTTTACTTCCTGACATGAAAATTATAAATAATAATCATCGCACTTAGGCTTTATTCTTATGTTTAGTCTTAATGAGAAGAACTTATTAATGATTTACTGAAATAATATATTTGGAGAGAATCAAAATAATAAGAACTGAAAAATAAATGCTGATTCAGTAACCCTTTTCCCTACTTGGAGATCAGTTGTTACTACTTTTCCAAACGTAATGATGAACCCACAGGGCAAAATGCAGTCCATTTAGAATTAGTTATCATTTGGTTTTTAGAAAATAAACATATACAGGAAGTTAGAAGAAAAATAGGCACTATTAACATAAGCCTTGCACGCTAAGAAAGATAAAATGAAGCATGAAGCTTGCTTACCTCAAGCCCTAGCTTAAAATTACTGTCCAGTGTTCCTTTTAGACATCACATATTTACTTAAGGTCACACAGTGATCCAAAGCTGTGGTCAAAATGTTACACTTTTCAAATCCATCACAGGACAGTGTGTGATAGGAGGAGTCAATAATGATGCCCTGTTGTGTTTCCTTTGACTGGAAGTTCATTAGCCAGCATGTCTGCATTGCTGGTAAGGTTCTTACTGATAGCACAAATGACATTAGGAGGAAATGTTGGTTCTAAGTGTGCTGTGCTATAAGCTGAAACTAAATGTAAAAAAAAAAAGAAAGAAAGAAACACGTGAGTTTGCTATTCATTGGACACATACAGCATTCTTTTTACTGGTTTGAAAATGATAAAGTGATCCCCATATATTTCTAGTTATTTGTTTATAATCTCTCCACACAGCAGATTAAAAATATATGTTGGTCAAAAATAAACAGTTGTATTAAAAAGGAAAAGGTAAATATATTTTAAAACCAAATATAATGGATATAATGAGAAAAAGAATTCTGACTTCAAAATAAAGAAGCCAATATTGGGGCAAAGTGGATCGTGGTTAAGAAAATGGAGACATTTTAGCTGGTCATATTACTGTAAGATTTTTGCTGTTAGTGGTGAAAAGTGAAACCATAGAAATGGAGTATAGCATAAAAATTGGGGGAGCACTGAGTATATCAAAAAAATGATACCCTGGTCATTTTTGGTGATAAGGGGAGATTAGGACAATATTATGGAAGGTTCATTTTAATTAGGAGACAAAGTGAAGCTCTTTATAAAAAGGGATATGACAAGAGTTGGGGCTCTAGAAAATATTTTTAAAATTCCAGGGTAGAGAAATCTTGTTTTATTTCTCTCTTATTTTCTAGAGACACATGCAGTGCTCAGGAGTAGAGTAGAAGTTTTTGGTCTACTTAATAAATGAGGAGAAAAAATTCAAGTTGGGTCCCAATGAGTTCATTCATAATTATCTTAAATCCAATATGTTAGTAATCTAGTAACTCACTTTAAGCTACATTTTACCATTTTTAGAAGCAAATAATGGTATGCAGTAAAAATGCAAAGGAAATGATTACATCCATATCTACCTCGTCTTAAACCACAGTAGCATTTTTAAAACTCTGCATATAGATTATACCTCTAAGAGACACTTCACCAAATCTTTACTGAATTGCCTTTTGGATACAGTTTTATGAATTAATCTATTCATATATATGTATTATATATAATACATATATTATATATAATTGTATTAGTCTGTTCTCACGCTGCTGTGCAAAAATACCCGAGACTGAGTAATTGATAAAGAAGAGAGGTTTAATTGATTCACAGTTTCATGTGGCTGGAGAGGACTCCGGAAACTTAAAATCATGGAGGAAGGCACCTCTTCATGGGGCGGCAGGAGAGAGAGTAAGTGCTGAGCAAAGGAGGAAGCCACTTATAAAAACATCAGATCTCGTGAGAAATTACTATCATGAGAATAGAATGGGGGAAACCGTCCCATTATTCAATTACTTCTGGATCCCTCCCACAACACGTGGGGATTATGGGAACAACAATTGAAGATGAGATTTGGATGGGAACACAACCAAACCATGTCAATCATCATGCACCCAAATATGTTTCGTTGTTTCCTTAGTTGTATTTGTTGCAAATAATTTGGTATTTTGGTCTGCTGGAAGCTTCTCTATTATTGTCTCTCCTCCGTAATTCATTCATCATTCCCATTGAATTTGGGCCTCCTATGTGCCCAATTATGAACCACAACCTGATACCACAACATTTGCTTCCTGATATTAATAAAATTTTTAATGTTCTAATGAATAATGATTCCAAATCCAACTTTATGAACTCGGTTCTGATTCCAGAACTCTGTTCCAAGTTCATGAACTTTGGATTTGGAATCACTATTTGTGAGAAGATTAATAATATTTTCTCATTTTAGCAAATTCAAAATTTCAAACAATTTAAAAATTATTTTAAAGAGTGATTTTGATAAACAGGTAGTTTTGACATGAAATAGTGGCTAAAAATTATAATGGATATAGATGTCAGTAACAAAAGCAAACTCTGACTTGAAAATCAGTTTATTTCAACTAATCTCTATGAATTCATTTAATATATTAAATTATATGCCGATTAATAGGATGGCGTTATTTCTATTATGTTAAACTCTTCAGACTAGACTTTTATATTTGATGCTTTCAGTTGTCTTTTCTTCATCATTTTACCTTGTCAAAAAGTACTGCTTACTTTGGGGGCTACTTAGAAGTAGTATTGCTTCTTCTGAAGAGCATAACACTTACTTAGAATATCCCAGATATGCAGTATCAATAGAATGTTTATTTTATTTATCATGCCATTCAACTGCACATTTGTCATTTAGCATGAAGTCTTTGGCTTAGGGCATAAAAAAATTAAGCATGAGGCTACAAAAAGGGAAGCTAAGTAAATCACTTAAAATAATATTTTATTATCACTGTGCTTATGGAGGCCCTGATATTAGGTGAACTATCACTATTAAAAAGGGGGAGGACAGAGAGTTACTGAAATGCATACAGGCTGTTGACCAGTTGTGTAAGTTGATTATTTTTAAAGTTATCTTAGAGTATTATTTTAAATGTTTCATGCTTCAGTAGCTGCCTAGTAGGTCCTAATTTTCTCCAAGATATTTTCATTGATACTTTAAAAATAAATTTTAGTAGATATTCAAAATGAGTTACTAATGTTTTTGGCTCTTTGTAAAGTAACTATAAAATGCAGTCTCAGATATCAAAGGCTAATGCACTCTGACAAAGCTTAAATTGTAATTTTAATTTGCCCTTTCTCTCTGAATCTATTTTTAGGAACTGGGACTTGTCATTACTGGAACTCTTCCGGTCTTCAACATAACCGGCCAATTTGAAAATAAGACAAACTTAAAGGTTAAAAGTTAATTGATAAAATTAATAATAATAAATGACAAACTGTGACGTTGAAGCTCAACATGGATAAGATATTTCCATAAGAAAATACATGCAGTGTAACTGTCTTGTGAGGCCAGAGGTCAAAGGCAACAGCTGCCTATGCGATAACCACCTGGGAAAAAGGAAATGCAGGTCAAACTCTCTGTTGCCCTAGAGCCAAGATTCAGCTTAACTCCACTTAACTATGACCTGATGAGAACAGAGTCAGACTCTGGGAGTAATTATATGATAAATGGACAGTAATATTGTGTGCACATTTTAAGAATCCATCTGAGATATTAATGGAGTTTAGAAAGAAAAATCCAAAGACCAAAAGCATGGTGATGTTTGTATCAGGTGTACATTGGTATATTAAATCATTCCTCCCCAACTCCCAAACAGTAGCTTTTTAAAAATTATCTTGTAACTTAAGGATGTGATTTAAATTAATATTTCTCTTTATTTTTTTCTATTTTAGGGTACAAGAAGAATAATGTCATAGAATGCTTAATTTTTATAGCACTGGTTTTTTGGTCAGTGCAGTAAAATGCCTATTTAAAAGTTCTAAAAAATACGTATCTTATACTTATTATGTCTTATTTGTTAAATGCTTTTGATTTTAAATAGGATTGCATTCCAGTTTTTTAGTTTGATTCAGAAGGAATTTGAGATTTTGAAGTTAAGAGTTCTTTAATACTAGAGACTGATTTTATAATATAGGTGATATACTTGATTTGAGTGAATATTTATTTCCAGTTTATGGTTTCATGAAGTCTGTTGCAGTTAAGCGTTGTTTGATCAGTTATTATATATCTCAGTTGAACTCCTTATATTAATAAGGAGGCCATAGAAAACAGTTATTTCTCTTTGGGAGCCCATGACCATTCTTAACTATCTGCAGGTTCTAAATATTGTAACTCATAAAAGAGTAACTCTCTAACTTTCTCATACGTGTTCACAAATCTCACTGTGAACTAAGAGATTGCTCCAGTTGGGAAGTTTTTGCTCAGACTAGGATTGGTTCATGGAAAAGAGCATAGTTATTGACAGAACTTTCTTACTCTATCTGTACCTCCACAAAGTTTAAATGTTTTTGTAATTACTAGATTTTATAATTTTTTGCAAGCACATTTCAAATTTATTATTTTATAATTTATATAATTCCATTTGAAACAACAATTTTGGACTCAAAATTTTAACACAATTTCCATCTTTATGTCCCATGGAAGATCATGATGGCAGTTTGCCACAAATCTCCTCTACTTGCACCTAAAACTGTGATGCCTGTTGCTTGGTATATAGAAGTTATTAGCCGCGACTAGAAATAGTGTTTTTAGGATTTTATCACCAATATGGTCACATACTTTCAGGATAGTTACATACGCAGGAACTATCTGCAGCAAAAATCCAATATGTTCTTATTCTATATTGTCTAATGTTTAAGCTGGACATTCTTGTGGCTTCTTAATTATAGTAAACCATAAAGTCAGTCTAAACTCACATACATGGACACACAGCGATAAGCGCTGACTGTACGATAGCAGTGAAAATAAATATTAGAAGAAAAGGGTACAAGAAGTGTCAAACATTTTTATTTATCTTTTATATATTTTAGCCTCAATTATCTAGATTTTCTTTGCTAAGGTAAATGATAATGATGATAAAGTTGTAGGAAACAAAGCTGAGAATCCTTGTAAATTGACAGTAAGAATGCTTCACTCTATATATACATTTAAACTAATATGGAATATAACCATAATGCCAGCAAAATATGAGCATATGATAATTGTGTAAAAATATGTAAATTTTTGATATAAAATGCCATTTTTGCTCTCTTATTATAGAACCAGCTGATTCTTGGTGTGATGGGGGTAGATGTGTCTTTGGAAGATATTAAAAGACTGACACCACGTTTTACAGTAAGACGAAATTTGCTCTTTTGATACCCTTTCTAGTTTAGAACTCTGTACTAATTTAGCTTGGCCACAAAGCACTTAGGTAATTCTCAAAAATTATGGGCAGTTATCTTAGCAAAGGAACTACATGGTTAAAAGCATCTCTAAAATAAAATGATTCCATGTTATCTTTCAACATACTATAAAATGTGTATTTAATACATTATGTATTTAAAAGAATATAGATTTCTAATTGTGACTCAGGCATATCTAAGCTTATATTTTTTCTTTTCCAGCTATGCCCCAATGGGTATTACTTTGCAATCGATCCTAATGGTTATGTTTTATTACATCCAAATCTTCAGCCAAAGGTCGGTATATAATTTGTTTACACTGGTTAGTGTTTTGTAGAATTAATGACTAATGTTCTTAATAGGATTGTTGTTTTAAAATTTACTATATAACACTAAATATCAAAGTACAGTCTGTAACGTGGCTCTCTTCTTAGATGACAAGACAACACATCATAATATATGAAAGAGTGAAAGCAGTTTTCATTTTCTGTTACCAATTTAGCTGCACTAATATTTTTATCTCAAAGACAGCCATTATCACCCACTGAGCCTCAATTTCATGCATCCCACTTCTGACTTTGATTTTAAGGCTGTAAGATAATAAAGGATATTGCTCCAGACATGAGTTTGAACCTGATAAATATTAGTAATGTTCGTCTATGTCCAGGTCACATTTTCTATTGCCCTTCTCTTCTAGTAATTAACTCTGCTTTCCATCTCCCAGAATGGTTTTCCTTTTACTTTAGGACAGGCCTGTAAAGAGATGTAAGAGATTGAATAAGTAAAATTCATGAGATGGGCTTCAGAAATGGGAAATATTTATTAATCAGCAAGTTAATCTGAAAGAGATAAAATGCCATCGATGAACCATATTATCTTAATTTTTATGCCTATTTTCTCAAGATATTTTCATCAATTATCTTGTACAACTCATTTCACTCTTCATGAACTGCTTCACAGGGCATTAATAGCAAAATTTATTTAGACATAAAATTAATCAAAGTCTTATAATTGTAACCTTAGAAGCATCTGTTTAGTTATTGCTTAACTTTGAAGATAATATTGAAGATCCTTTAAACCATGCAGACTTATGCATACTACTTCTTTCTCCCGAGTCATGGATATGTAATGTTAGCCATATATTAGAATATACCACAAGTGTGTGAACATACACACAGTTGTGTCATTTAAATATTGTTCAAATCCATAAGAGAACTATTGATATTGAATGCAAAACTACATTAAATGTAATACATTAATTATCTATTTTAATACATTAAATAATATTACATTTTATAACTGATGTCTACTTTAATTTATCTGACTTTGGAACTTATTTCCATATCAAATTCATCATATAATTACTTGTAGCACATGTAGCTGTTGATCACCCTAGTTATGCTAAATGTGTTATTTTAATATAAATGTTGCATAAGTACTTTTTCATATTATTATTAAACTACCACAGCTCTTTAAAAGCATAACCTGTTAAATTCCTCTTAAAAGAGTAATTTATGTTTGGCTAATCATCCTATGATTTTGCTATAGCTTGAAAACTTATCTTTTTATATCTTAATTTTTTTTTATAATTTTGCAGTATTATTGTTTGGGCTTTGTATATACAGTGTATTTTCAATTAAATTCCCCTAACTAAAGTAATTCAAAAGTAATAAAAGTGTAACGTGGGCTGGGTGCGGTGGCTCCCACTTATAATCCCAGCACTTTGGGAGGCCGAGGCAGGCGGATCACCTGAGGGCAGGAGTTCGAGACCAGCTTGGCCAACATGGTGAAACCCTGTCTGTACTAAAAATACAAAATTAGCCGGGCATGGCAGTGCTTGCCTGTAATCCCAACTACTCAGGAGGCTAAGTCAGGGGAATCTCTTGAACCTGGGAGGCGGAGGTTGCAGTGAGCCGAGACCACTCCATTGCACTCCAGCCTGGGCAACAAGAGCGAAACTCCGTCTCAAAAAAAAAAAAAAGTGTAATGTGATGAAGGGTGGGTGTGAAGGATCTCTAGTTTTATAATTATAAACCTTAACCCTCACCCAAAGGAACTAAAATATATCATAGACAAAAAGAAGAATAAGGACAATAATGCATATATGATGGAGAGATATATATGTATAAATCTACCATCTAATGGCTGTAACAGTTTAGGTGGTTTTCATAGTCAAAGAGAAGTAATAATTTGAAGTTTTTTTCTTTTCTACATTCCACTAATAACCAATATTTATGTAGAAAATATTACTATTTGAATGACATTAACCTATATTTGGTTCATATTTGAAATAATTCACTAAAATTTATAATATTACAGAGAAAACAAATTCTTTAGCAACTTCATTAAAGCCCAACTGATATTTTTCTTCCATATTATAAATTAGCTTTTCATATCTTTATATTTGGATTTTACTAAAGCAAATATTAATATGTAACAGAAAGACATCTCCAAAAATACTATTTCAGAACACCATGAAAAAGAAATTATTCTGAATATCAGTTTATTCTTTATTTCTGAAGTCCATGCTTGTGAATTAAATATGCTTGTGAATTCTCATCATTAACTCAGTAAATATTATGATTTCCGTTTTGTGGCTAAAGGAGGATGCTATACAGATTGATACAAGACCTCATAAAAGGATGACATAGTATAAGATAATTGCTTTAGAAATACGCAAATACAAAGGAACATATGGTGACAGTATACTAACAAAATTAATCTTAATTATTTTATCAGAAATTCATTAATACAAGTGAAGAAAAATAATGCTTATCTATAGCAGCCATTATTATTTAACAAGGTGAAAGTCTAATGTTATGCAAGTATTTTTTGATCAATGCCTGTGTTTTCCTCCTGATATGGGAACCTTAATTAAAAATATTTCAGTGAAGGTTTTTTTGTAGATGAGTATTCTTTAAAAGCCCCCAGAATATCATTAAATAAAATAGCTACGGACTTTTCACATATTTAATTTTTAAGGACTCATAACATTTTCTAAGCTTGTACTTTTACCAGCATGACCACATTTTGACATGTGTTGAGTTATATATTCTGCTTTATTACAAAAAGCATTTTAACTTTCTTCCATTTTGTGTCATTGAAATAACCAGGTTAGGTCTACTTAGTTAGATACCTCATTTTGTTCAATTCTAAGAAATATGTATTGTATAGGAAATTGTGCATAATCCATGTTTGAGAAGTTAATATTTAAAATAAATCTACACTGTTATGGTTACATTCTCCATTAGTTCCACAGATAGAACATTTGGTATCACTTCAGAAAACAAAGGCACAAATATTAAACATTAAAACTTTTTAATATCATATAATTTTCTTAGTTCATTCAGGCTGCTATAACAAAATACCATAGACTGGGTGGCTTATAAACAGAATTTAGTAACTCACAGTTCTGAAAACTGGGAAGTACAAGATGAAGGCTTGGGCAGATTGGTGTTCTGTGAGGGTTTGCCTCCCTATTCACAGCTATCTTCTCACTCTAACCTCACACGGAGGAGAAGGGGTGAGACGTCTCTCTCTAGGGCCTCTTTTATAAGGGCACCAATCCCATTCAGGAGGGACCCACCAACCAGGACCTAATCACCTCCCAAAAGCCTTTGGATACCGTCATCTCTGGGGATGAGGATTTCAACATATAAATCGAGGGATGGACATTAAAAGTATTTATATTTGGGTCGTGTAAATTCTAACAATTGTTACTTTTCTTTTTCTTTTTTTTTTTCTTTTTTTGGTCAAATCGATGGAAAACTAATCTGAGACAAACAACCTTTTTTCCCACTTCCCAAATATGTACTTTTCTAGAAAAAGAAAAATAATAGTCATTTTTCTTAAAAATGACTATTCATGTAACAGTTTTTATTCGTTGAAGATATTTTTAAATTTTTATTTTATTGACTCATGAACTCCATACCTACCAAATACTTTGAATTCCAAGTCTATCATTTAGACCTTTTTCCAATCAAAGAAATATCTGAGGAAAATTGATTATAGGATAGAACCCCTACCTATGTTGATATGTAGTATGATGAATTACCATTTTTCTGTTGCTTCAGCCTATTGGTGTAGGTATACCAACAGTTAATTTAAGAAAAAGGAGACCCAATGTCCAGGTAACGGTGAATGAAGGTAGACTTAACAGTGCTTTCAAATTTGCTAAATCCGAGTTGAGATTAAGCTTCTGTTTAAAGCTTATATAATTAAAGCTGCCTTTCCTGACATCAAGCTTCCAGAGCATGAAATGGAGATGAGCATCATTTCTTAATAAACCAGAGCAAAAATGTTATTAATAATGGTAGAGGGTATGTATTGGCTAACTAAAGATTGCAAAGTCAATTATGGAATCAGGTTAATAATCAGAGAAATCATAAAGAGATGGCTTCTAAAAATAAATTTGTTATTAAAATTATAAAATTAATGTCAAATTCATGTGATCCTAACAATTTGCTTGTAAATTTACTTCTAAGTGGAAATAAAATACAATTCCTATGTGACAGTTGCCATAAGCCACAGATTTTAAGCCAAAACTTCTAAAAAGTGTAATTCGGGGTTAGACATTAAAGAAATTTCCCTTAGCTAATTAAAAATGTACCAAAGTGCAAATAAGTAGTGAATTTTATTACCTGGCAAACTCATTGCAAAAGCTTTTCCTTTTGGCAACAAAACTTCCGTTATCATATGTATGCAATATTTCTATATGCACAGTAAAACTATTAATAATCAGCATAAAAGGATACTTCCCACAGCTTAGCAAGAGAATTTCAGAATTTCAAAGGATGTTCAACATTATTTAAGATTTTATAGGTAAGCCTACCATTTCTTTAAAAAAGTTGGTGACATTAAGGCCAACCGCGGTGGCTTACGCCTGTAATCTCAGCACTGTGGGAGGCTGAGGAGGGCGGATCACAAGGTCAGCAGTTCAAGACCAGCTTGGCCAACATAGTGAAACCCTGTCTCTACTTAAAACATAAAAATAAAAAAATACAAAAGAAATTAGTTAGGCATGGTGGCACATGCCAGTAGTCCCAGCTACTCGAGAAGCTGAGGCAGGGAATCGCTTGGACCCGGGAGGTAGAGGTTGCGGTGAGCCAATATTGTGCCACTGCCTCCGGGCTGGATGACAGAGCGAGACCCATCTCAAAAAAAAAAAAAAAAAGAATAAATACATAAAAAAGTGGGTGACATTAAAACGAAGAGATAATATGTCATTAAGAAGAGATGGATAAGCTATGAAGTAGTAGAACTGAGTGCTAGTTTGGTTCTAATAGCCAACACTGTTCTTGAGCACTCCACTAAATCCTGTAGTGCTTCAATTTCTTCATCTGAAAAGCAGGAGAATTGAACTAGTCGCTAGTTTCCATCCTACACAGTATATTCACCTAGGAAATTAAATATGTATGTCAGTTCCCTGCCTCATCCTCTGAAAATTCTGATTTAATTTGGCAGTGATGGCACCAGGCCTCTAAATCGTTTTTGTTTTGTTTCGTTTATTTAATTTAATTTTTTTTCTGAGATGGGTCTCACTGTGTTGCTAGGCTGGAGTGCAGTGGCATGATATCAGCTTACTGCAACCTCTGCCTCCCGGGTTCATATGATTCTCCTGCCTCAGCCTCCCAAGTAGCTGGGATTACAGCTTCTGGCCACCATGCCCAGCTAATTTTTGTATTTTTAGTAGAGACGGGGTTTCATTACCTTGTCCAGGATGGTCTCAATCTCTCGACTTCGTGATCCACCCGCCTCGGCCTGCCAAAGTGCTGGGATTACAAGCATGAGCCACCGTGCCCGGCCTCTAAATAGTAAATTTTTAAAGCTCCCCATGGAGTTCTAAAGTGCAGAGCCACTGAACTAGTTGAGAAGCTTTAACTCCCTTCCAGTGCTAGAATTTTAGAACAAACTGAATTTCATATTGTTGCATATGAAAGTCTTCATATCTTTTATAATTCCTATAAAGTTTAAAATTATGTTTATGCCTTTCTTGATATAGTAAATTATTTTGTTACTATCCTTGCATGTTTCTTTTTATGTATTATCTTATACTTTTGCAGTCATGTGCATTTTAGTGAATTTTTGTTTTTGCAGCAACCTCAAATATTGCATGTAACTCTTAACAATATAATTAAAAAATAAACAACCTGAAAATGGTTTGTTTTATTTTTGTTTTCATTCTAAGAAAACTCTAAATGGCAAACTAGCAACCACACAAGACTCCTCAATTTGAAGGATATTTTTGAACTAAGTATCATTTGTAATACTATCTAGTAATTATTTCAATTTAAAATTTGTTAACTTTGCATTCTTCCATTTCCACAAATGGTATGGTAGTTATTTCCATTGATATCCACATTTTGCAAATGAGAAATACTAGGTATTTTAAATATCCAACAAAAATAATGGGTATGCGAGACTATTTTCCAGTTCTTCCGCCTCTCTTGGTGCTTTCTTATTGAAACATTACACTTTTGAATTTTGTAGTCACCATGCCCTTGATGGATCTTTTAAAAAAATGGTCAGCTAGATTGCTATTTTAAAAGTACAAGTTATGCATTGAGATTTTTCTTTTATGATTTCATTTTCTTCTCTGTGTCTTTGTATGCTGGATTGGGACATGATCTTCATATTGCCAATTCTTCCTGATAATGCCTCCTCCATGCATGCTGTTTGGGTCTGGTCATGCTATGCATTATCCATTGCATGTAAGATAAATACTCTTATTTCTGTTTACTTTTTATTATTTTCATTATTTTGACTTTGTTTTGCAGTGAGTTTGTTAAAATTTTAATGCTGATATGGTGTTTGTGTGAAGACGGTTTATTTCATGGGACATTAAATGAGCAATGCTGAATAATATTGTAAACTTTAGAGTATCCTTTTGTTAGGGACTTCCTAGGTTTCATTTTTTAAACAAAGAAATTAGAAGGATTTTCAACATTGGCTTTTTTTTTCTTCTTTTAAAATACACTACATTTCAAATGAGTATTTCCTTTTCAGGCAGTAAGATGTCATCAGTAGCTTACCAATACTGGTCAGCATTTTCACCTTTGAAAAATTTAATGCTTATTTTCAGTATTCTAGAATCTTCTGATGATAGCGATAGAGTACTTAAGCAGTAAATATTTTTTCAATTAAAGTGCCAGACATGGCTGTTTTTTAAAATTTGCCTTTAAGAATGTTCATTTATCAAAAACCATAGCAATAAAAAATTTTCATCTTTAGGTGGAATTACTCTTTGAAGGAAGGCATTTTTGTCAGTAAATATTTGCCATGTATACTATGTCATTCAGCATCTTGATAAGATATGCTTAATTTTAGTACATTTTTACTTATTGCAACTGTCTTGGTCAGTTTCTTCCTAAAACAGTGCTTAAAACAGTGATGATCCGAATATCTTTTGAAAGAGCCTGTGAGGCTTATATTATTAAAGTTTGAATGACCTTTGCACTAATCCAGCATAGTTTGCATTTGTTACTGGTATCTAGTTATCAGATTTAGGTAACATTTTAATAAAAATTAAAAATTCAATTTATAAAATTTTGCAATTATAAATTACATATACCTATTATGATTTTATTGCTCTAGTAAGCTTTAAAGTTTTAGTATGACATGTTACATTACTTAGGAAGTTATAGAGGAATTAACTGTATTTTGTTTATCAAATAGTTCAATGAATCTTCATTTTGCAATTGAGAAAATATGAGGTAAATTTGCCAGACTAACCGTATCATTTTATATAATGATATCGATAAATAAGAATTTATCTTATTCCCCAGTGTTATTTATTTATTATTATATACCAGCAAGAAGAAGCAATAGGAAATAGTATTCAGTGAACCCAGGGGTTATTATCCTAGTAAGACTTTAATTATAATAGCTAATCTTAAAATCTTTATGACAACCACAAGTTTATCTTACGCATTCTGATGTCATTTGAATTATTAAAATATAAAATTTATTAGATTGAAATATATGAAGCACACTTGCACCTTTTCTTTATACACTTTCAGAAGGAAGAACAGGTCCAATAGAATGTTTTACTTGGCAAATGTAAACATAATTTTAAAACATTTTATCATACACTTTTTTTTTTTTTTTTTTTACAAATTTTAAAAGTATGCCTACATGTTGCCGTTGTTTTATGGCCAAATAAGTTATCCAAATGGCTATATTTTGCCCCTTTCCCATACTAATTAATGAAAAGAAAGTTGTGAATGATTCTTCAAAAGTAGTGTGCCCAAAGAGCTTGTGATTAGAAATGCAGTACCAAATACACCACTCAAAATGAGACTCTCTTCACTTGGTTTTTAATTAAGATTGCCTGCACTGAAAGCTCAATCTCTAGCTTTTATATATGTAAGCTATATATATATGAATGAAAGAAGATACCTTTAGATAGTTATTGTATCCTAGGTAAGTAATTTTTGCACAATTAATTTCATAAATACCCATTGAATTGTTTTATACACAGCATCATTGTATAATGTTATGTGTACCTAATTATTATTGTTTTCTGCGTAGAATCCCAAATCTCAGGAGCCTGTAACATTGGATTTCCTTGATGCAGAGTTAGAGAATGATATTAAAGTGGAGGTGAGTGGAATCAGTAAGACTAAACAATTCCTCAGGTCAGATGTTGCTGTACACTCCTTCTACAGGTATCTGTTGAACAGCTACAATGTGTAAGCTTGTCTGTTAGATACTGTGTACACAAAGATGAATGTTCTGTGTCATTAAAATTTTCTAGATCCTGGGTTTTCCTATCCAAAAGATCATATGAAAAGGTATGAATGTTTAAGTTGGATTTGACCTTAGTGTTCTTTCTCTTTCTAAAGGTAGACATATTTTCACTTTTCTAATACAAATTTATCTTGTAGACGTCAGTAAAACTCATAGAGATGGAGGATGTTGCTATAGTATTGAAAAAAGACTTGGAAGGAATCCAACCACCCAAACACATAAGGAGTAGCGTGAGAGAAGCTGCCATGTTTGCCTTAATACATTTTACTCAGCAATCTATTTTATTTCAAAAGCAAAATTGCATTATTTCCTCCTCTGAGAGAGTCTTCCATAATAGAGTATTAATAAGAAAAATAAAATAAATAATAAATAACATTAAGTATATGATATATGTTAGTCATGGATTCTCAAGAGGCTTGGAAATTGGTGTTGCTATTATTGTTTCACACTATAATATCTGTTGTACTGATGTTACATCTGAGGTACAGAGAAGTTAAATAGTTTCTCTACAGTTCTTCAGCTAATAAGTAGCAGAACTTGGCTCTTGCATTCCAGATTCCAGATTTTTAGGATTTTTCCAGATGGATTAACTCCTTTGCAAAGGCCATCGTATTTCTTTTATAACTTGTTATAGTGTATTTTAATTGTAGAACAATAGAATTTAATTTACTTTAATTACCCTAGACTGTGGCCTCGTGTTAGGGTGTTTAGGTGATTAATAATGTTTGTTGTAAAGTACTGGACATAATAAAGTAGGATAAAGTAATAGGGATAAGCTTGGTGTCTGAGCTGTCACTCCACTGAGTGACCAAAATGATCTTATTTATATTCTCCAAGCCTCAGTTTCTTCTAAATCAATTAGTAATAGTCATCAAATGAAATAATATATAGAAAGGACTTAGCAAAAGACCTGGTTCATAGTAAAGTCTTTATTATTTTTGAGCTTTTCATAAGTGCACACTCAACTTACATTAGAAGCTGTTATCTACTCCTTCCTTTCAGACCCAATTATTTGAAATTAGATACATCACACATTCGTATATTCTTCAGATTATTCCTTTAATCACACCAAGTTTGTTTACTTATTATTTGCAGTTGCCTGAAGCCAAATGTAAATCACTGGTTGAGTTATAAAAAATAAGTTGAGGAAACTTCTGAGAATTGCCAGTAGACTGGAATATTTAGTGGATAATGTGACCTTGCACTTTTTTTTTTTTTTTTGAGATAGAGTCTTGCTCTGTCACCTAGGCTGGAGTGCAATGGCGCAATCTCGGCTCACTGCAACGTCCACCTCCTGGGTTCATGCCATTCTCCTGCCTCAGCTTCCTGAGTAGCTGGGATTACAGGCGCCTGCCACCATGCCTGGCTAATTTTTGCATTTTTAGTAGAAACGGGGTTTCATCATGCTGGCCAGGCTGGTCTCAAACTCTCAACCTCAGGCAATTTGCCTGACTCGGCCTCCCAAAGTGCTGGGATTACAGGAGCGAGCCACCGCACCTGGCCAACCTTGCATTTTTAAGGATTTGGAGTATTCTACTGAAGGAGACTCAACTCTCTTATCTGAAATCCAAATAGGTGTTTATAGTTTTCTCTATCCTTTATTTAGATTTTTTTTGTACTCCAGATATAAGAATTACTAACAAAAAAGTATAAAGAGTCCTCTTAAAAAATCTTTTCTCACATGAAACTGATTGTGTAAGGCAGAAATTTGAAGCATTCTGTGTTATATGTAATTTTGTATATATACATTTCTGTGTCTCAGTGACTACTTTCCACTCCACTGTGGCCAGCCGTAACATAATTGACCATTCATTTTATTAATTATGTTTCAAAAACTACCAACAGATTGAAAATATTTCATGAAAGATGTTTTATTTAAATTTTAAAACAGTGTAAAATGACTATAATATGGTAACTTAAAAAAATTCCCAGAGAACAACTGCAGATACTGGTAAAACTAACTCCCTATTTTTATTTTATTTGTTCTACATGAAGTAAAGAACTTAAAAAACTACCATGTTAACAGTCATACTTTGGCAGGTCAGCTTTGTTTCTAGAATAAAGTAGTTGTTTCATTTACTCTTAGATTCGAAATAAGATGATTGATGGGGAAAGTGGAGAAAAAACATTCAGAACTCTGGTTAAATCTCAAGATGAGGTAAGAATTGATTCTAGCTTATTCTTAAATAAAAATTATATCAAGAAAATTTGATATTGGTAATTTGTCCTTTTTTCTATTAATCCACTATTATAAAACGGATACCTCTAGGAAACAATTTTTCTTTTTTAAAGCACTTCTTAACTGGAGGGATATTTTCACTAAGATATATTTTTAACTCTTTTTTTCTTTTTATAAAACACTATTGCTTTAGGTTTCTTGATGTTTTCTTATACATTAACAGTATATTCTTGAAATTATATTTTACATATATTTTATGAGAAATAGAATGCACAATATAATTTTGCCATGTTGTTTTACACTATGCCAATGTTGCAAAATTGAAGTTAATATTTAATAGCTATGTGTTTTATATGATTTGTCTAGGTGGATGTTCTAATTATTGAGTTCCATATATTAATTATTTTGTATTTTTAGCTTTTTGTTTACTTGTTTCTGGCTTGATTTATCTTCATTTACTAGTTACACACTTTAAAATTTCCCAGCACTTACATCTGAAATTAAATCCTGTGATAACACAACTACCCCCACAAATAATTGATTTATGTCTATTATCATATTGGAGTATGTCTATTATCAGTCAGATGTGGAGTACAGACAGACATTTATACATTTGAGTATTTGAAAAATATAGGTCTCAGAAGCTTTTGAGCCTGGAAATGTAATTTAAGCTTTTATGTATAACCTATATCCTTTTCCTCACAATCTCATCCTTTTTAGATGGATGACATTTCTCTGAAATTCCTCATCAGATCCTTCCCTAGGTGGAAGGTGAGCTAGGATCTGAATATGATCCTTCATTAGCACATGGCCTTTCTCATTTTAATATCATTATGAGTCCCTATTACAGAACACAAAGGGAGGTATATTTACATTTCAGTCTTTGTTGCAACTTCAAATCTATTTACTTAGACTTTTGCACATTCTTTTTTCAGCTTACAAAGTAATTTTCTGTTAACTTCCATTGATATTTTTCCCCCTTCAATTTACTGCAAATAACTTTTTTTGACAAATATTCAGCTAAAGACTATGTTTTCCTATCTTAGAATTTTAAAATGTCTGTCATGAACACACTATTGTAAATAGATATAACTGCTAATCTTCAATTACTATGTTGCCTTGTACTCCAGATTTCTATGTATGTTGGTATTTCAAGAAAAGTTATTATTTACTCTATGAGTGACTATAATTTTTATCACTATTCACTATTTTATAGACAATCAAAACAATTACAACTCTGTGCATACATATTACTCTAATTTTTAGGTGATATCTTTCAAAAGCTCTTTCTAAATGGTCTATGTAAGGGATTTGGCAGAGATATTTAGGATGTGATAGTAACCTTCATATTATAGTGTTATGCGTTTTAGCCAAAGTAGCTGAATTCCACAGGCTTAGGTTAGTTATTAACTTTGAAGTTCATTTTTGTGGTGGTTGTAGGAATTATATAACCTTTCTTGTACCATTTTCCGTATTGATGAGCTGGGAATCTCCAGTGTTAACACATTTCACAATGTTTGGCATAATGAGTTGGAAGTAATTTGAAATTCCTCACCTAGGAAATGTTTCCCACAGAACCTCTCTTTACACCTGATTTATTGAATATTTTTCACCAAAACCTGTCTGAAATTAATTTGTAAACATTTTTTTCATAGTCATGTCTTTCATGAGTCTTACTACTCTATAAAAATTGTAAGTGTATGGAATAAATGAGAAATTATATGAATAATCAAATGTTTAATACATATATGCTAACCCTTATGATACTGTATTTTTATGGATTTTAGTGTTACTACTGAAATAAGTTTAAAATAGAATTAGAGCTTTTCAATTTAATTTATGCCCAAATGAATCTGTTTTGTTGGAATCTGAAAATAGTTTGTATTTATTACACATATTCCATCAACAGTCCTTTATAACTATATGCTTGGGCTAAAACTAGAATGCATTTGTTCTATTTCATGCAGAAAATTTACTGAAAGATGGCAGAATTTAGTAAGGATAAACTTACTGAATAACGACTTCCTTAAGAAGCTAATCTGAGAATATTTCCAAACTTTGAAAGCAGTTGAAAAATAGATTTCTTGACTAAAATATTAGATAGTAATAATGTTTAAAGTTGTCTGTTTCAATGATTTGTAATGATTATTTCATTACAAATTGAAGACTGAACCAGATTATAATTTCTGCTACTGATATTGAAAAAACTTGTATTTTTATTTCTCTGCTCTGATACTATTTTCTGATACCGTATTTTATTTATAATTTGCAGACTAACACTTGCTTGCCCTCTTTGTTTATGCGTATATGAGTAGTAACAAATATATAAGCATTGTTTCTTCTAATTCTTTTAATAATACTAAGCCCTCTTCACCAACCCTGTTCCCCCTCCCCCCATCTGCTACACATACACCCACACATGCTCACACACAGACACACATGCACACATACATTGTGTAGTTGTTATAAACATGAATTTGGCATTATACATTTTGCCAACTTAAGTACCTTACCTCCTCTTTAACACTTATTTCTTTATCAATAAATTGCGGGATATAAAAGTATATACTCCAGGGGTTGGATCAAATGACAAAATGACTTTAAGGTGCTTAGCATGGTGCCTTATACCAAGAAATACTTCAATACATGTTACTGTTTTGGTGAGAATGATGAAACTCAAAAATAACTAAGCAAATTAAAAATTACATATATGTCATCACTATACGTAATGGAAAAGTGCATGTATAAAAGATATAGCCATGCATGAACTTCTTTAGCTCTGTATTTTCTTTCCCTGGTGGATTTAGGTGTTTTCCTAACCTTCAGTGATACTGAATAGCCTCTTATGATACCATAATAATGCTATAATAGTGGCTTCATAAAAACAGTCATATGCTAATCACACACTTGGATCTAGACACACTGCGTTAATGTCCTGATGTTGCCTGTTACTCTTAAACATACTTTAGTATGGACATATCTGAGCCTTGTCTAAATACTTCATAGTCCTGTTTCATTATTAAAATTTGTTTTTCAGGAAATACTGTTTTCAGTGTTTTGAAGATAATTTGGCATAAACTATTATGATTTTGCACTTATATTTATTTCTGTCAAAAATTTTGCTAGACACACATAGAATAAATAAACGTAGAATAAAATAGATCATACCTTTGTAAAGATGAGTATTAAATGACTGCAAAATTTATAAGTAAATTCTACTGCTTTACTTTTCGTATATATTCATACAAAATGTAGTGATAATAACCATGATAATAACCACGTCAAACTTCTTTCTAGAGATATATTGACAAAGGAAACAGGACATACACATGGACACCTGTCAATGGCACAGATTACAGGTAATTAACTGCATTCTATGTGTGTTGTGTATTCCAATGGATTAATATTAAGTCTGCATTTTCATAAGTGAATTTTCATGTGATTTTCAATAGAAGAGTTCCCAAAATGAAAACATAGTAAACTTATAGACTAATTTTTAAAATGGAAAAGATGGAAAAAATCTAGTAATACAAAATTTACAAATGAAAATGTATGTGATATAAATCTATATATTTTGTATTTTTACTTGAGAAATGTTGACAAATACCCATAATGATATGTAGGGTTCACTCCACTGACTTCCTCTTTTAGTTGTTGTTTAGTTTACATTACACACATACACACATTTGAGTTGAAAACTAACCTCAAATATAAAGCTGATGTCATCATTGTAGTATCTGATATAAAATGTTTAGTTGATATAATTTACCTCCATGAGTATCAGTTCTATAATATTCTGATTCCTCTTATTGGCTGGGCTTTGGAAAGTTGGACAGCCTAAAAGTTAGTAATCTATTGGTAATTCTCCATTCTTTAACACTTGCTCAACACTTCCTTCACTTTCTTGCTGTAACTCTCCACTGAGCTCACTAATTCCTCTGAAGTCTTCAGAATACTGAGGGTGATATGAGTGTGTCCTCATTACTCATTATTATTTTTTTTTCCTTTCTAAAATTTCCATCTTTGAATCTCATGCCACCATACCACACCACCTACTATTCCTCCTTCTTAACAATCATGTCCCTCTCATTCCTATAAAGATTTCAGCTCCTGGCTCATTGTCACTCTCCTACATTCACATATTTCACTGTTTTTCAAATGATGCCATACCTACACTGGTGTAAAGAAAAATAAAAATTGTTTAATAAAATAAACTTTAAAAGGAAAAAACGTAAGCTCAAAATTTTTACTATTAGATTTCACAGATATAAAATTAGTCTGTCAGATTGCTATAAAATTTTCTGAATACTTCCTCCCAATTTCTGTATTTTGCTATCATGGGCTGGTAATAGACAGTTTGTAAATTGGCTAGGTCCATGGAAAACACTTTAAGTAGCATTGACATAGATGATGTTTCTACTACCTGGGCTGTCTTACTTTTGGCCTCCTCTCCTCTAATGATCTTGTCATCCCCCTACCTTAGCCACTGACTCCAAAATCATATTTTGCAGCTCTTACAGTGTCAAGTCTGCAATGCCTTCATAGTCTTTACACGAGAATTTTTCATCCAACTCTCAGGTTACCACATTTTAACTTTCCATCCTCTCCTGCTACTAGCAGTAATCCTTGACTCAAGACATGAAATCCATCAATCCCTTCTTCCTTTTTGCTGCCTTGCCCTCTTGGTGTCCTTGTGCCCTTCTTTATTTAGCAGAAATTCCTTGGGTCTTTCACTGTCTTGCGCACACCACCAACTCCTTTCATCATAGTTGAGTTTGGCAAACAGCAATTTGGCAAAATACTAGTCCTGGTTACATTCAAATTATTAGCCACACCACACTGTACCCATACAGCTAAAAGTGGCTGAAGTAAAATACTCACTAGCTGATATATCACCTAAAATTCATGACCTCTAACCTGAAGTGGGCCTTACTGATGGCTAGCAGTCTCCATAATCCTGTAATTTTAGGATGCTTGTAGATGACTCTTGATCACTTCACTCTCCAAACCTGTAGTACATTGTCATCATTTTCGCTCGGGTGATGAATTTGCTTTCCATTTCACAGAGTAAAATAGAAGTGGTCAGAAAGAACTCCCACTATTAGAGTAATAACTACTTGCATCTGTGTCTCCATCTTCTATCTTTATTTCTGTTCTCAACACAATCACAAGAAGGTTCTTAACCCTTGAGTAGACTGTTTCATTTCTCTACTCAACTCTCACCAGTAAATTTGCTATCTCATTCAGTCTGACACCCGAAGTCTGGCAAGGCCATCAGTGGCTTAAACCATTTGACCTCACTCAGCATCAGCTCTGTGAATTTATCTTCCAGATTCTCCACTGAATAGTACCTGGTTAAGCCACATTGTCCTTTTTACAAAACAACATAAACACTGGCACCCATCTGCCTCAGAACTTTTGTATATGAAATTACTTCTGCCTGGAATTACTTTTCCCAAACAGTCACATGCTCATTCCCTCATCTTCCCATCTTTACTTACTTTTCATCTCTTCAGAAAGGCCTTCTCCAACAATCTTATTTAAAATGTATAATGCTTCTCCACACTCTATCTCCCTCTTGCACTTCATATTCTCCATAACCCTTATTGACATTTAACATCACGCACACACACACGAAGCATATATAAACTTATTTCTACTGATTATCATCTGTTCTCTCACTAGTAAGTTCCAAGAGGGCAGGGATTGTTCCCTGCTTTATTTACTTCTGAATCATCAGCTTGTATGACAGTGGCACATAGTTGGCACTCTAGAAATATTTACAGAATTGAAGAATTTCAATTTGGAGAAATGGAAGAATTTTCCAATTGAAGAAATTTTCGATCTGTCTCATCTTTTCAAATTTATATAATGGTGTGCTGAACTTCCATTGCAATATTTAAGTACAGAAATCTCTTTAACTACATATTAATATACAACTAATATGTAGGCTGTGATGGACTCAACGATTTCCCTCCTAATAAAAATCAAACCAAGTCCCCAGAACATACGCATAACCTTTTATGGGAGCCTATGTTATTATCATAGGAACCTGTCTCCTTTAGTATTCCTAGGATTGCATGTAGAATAGACGTAGAAGAAAAGAGCATATTGCAAAACACCAGAATGGCTGTTTTAATTATTTTACTTTTTCCCATCAACTGATTCCTATCTCTAATTTCTAGGCATTTCTTTATACATGTATAATCTTCATGTGTATACACAAGTTACTCTTTTTCCTCCCCCTTCCTTGATTATTGCCACCTTTCAATTTTTAGATTAACTTGTCAAAAGGTGCAAAAAGAGAGGAAGTCTTAAAGGTCTGTCTCTTGAGAGATGATTTTATGATAAAACAGAGTATCAAGGAATTGTATGAGAATGTGTTCTGTGCCCCTGTTGCTTAGACGAACTAATTCTGAGAAAAACTGGATTCTTTTAACCCTTACAATGTGATAGCTGGCCCTCCCACAGTTATAAGGACACGTTTGGGGTGTTTTATGTGTCTCGTGAATGGCCTCTACACTCAACCTCTTTTCCTCATACACTGAGTGATAATACACAGTGCAGGCAGGTTAATGTTCTTTTCTCAAGTTCATATTACTCCTTGTTGACAAAACTTTCATCTCCTTCCATTTTCATCGAAGTTTAATTTGAACTTCCAAGTCTGATAGTCCCTTCACACATTTCTAGCCCAATGTATCTGTCCTGTCGTTTCTGTCACTTCCATCACTATACATACAACTGTTCTCTGACAAGGCCCCAACTTGCCCACCTTTGCATGTTTTCCTCACACATTCGCTTTCCAAGTCTCCAACTTTGGGCCAGATTAAATCTATTTCCATTGGAAATACTTTTCTGAATCACTGTACAAATTCACAAACAATGATTTAGAACAAAATATTGCATCTAAGTTGAAGGAAAAAAACATGGTATGTTTTTATTTCATGAATGAGATACAAAATTTTCATCTGGTGATTTCTCTCTTCTTAAGTCTTGATCCAAGTACTGTATTTTGAAATGTAATCAATTATTTTAATAGGATGCTTTCTTTTTTTAGAGAATAATTTACTTTTATGGAGATAAATGAGTTGATAAATGTGTTATAGTCCACTTAACTCAGTTAACCGTGTTTCTGTCAGTCACAAAACACTGCCTGGGCTATACCATTCATCTGGTGGCCACTTGCTTTATGAAACTTTAATCTCTGGAAGGAAATAAAGCAGTCTTGGTCTATCAGTTTTGTAGGGACAGAGACAGCAAACATTGTATATGACAGCACCATTGACTAGGAATGTTGATAAAGATCTTATCTGGCTATATGTTGAAAAATTAACTTGGCTTGAGATGGATATAATTAAGTATAGCTATGTTTTTCTATAGAACGGATTATAGCTATTAATAACAACCAAAGACTTACAGGCCAACAAAACACATAGTAGATATGCCAATTTTAAGACTTCTATTTTCTTCCTCATGGGTTTCCATACTATATTTATGGTATATTAGATGTAACCCAAGCTTATAGAGTGACACTTTAGCAGTTGTATGATATAACGTTATTGGTTTTAATTAGAAGTTTCTCTTAGCAATAAATGCTGATGGGGCAATAAAAATGTCCTAATTTCCCTTGAGAAGAATTTGTAGGAGACAATCTTCAGTGCTCAGTAATTCTGCTGTACATTTTGTAAATGGCAAGTGAATCAGGAAAGGTCATCTTGCTGTCAGAGTGATTGCACTACTTATTTTAATTTTAATCTCTGCCTGCACTTAAAGGAAGTTACCTATAAAGTGAATATAGAAATTTTCATTAAATCTATATAACATTTTATTTCCCTGACCTTTTCCCATAAGGAACGTCTGTGAATTACTTAATGACTGGGAAAGGTTTGGGAATTAGAGGTAACAAGCATCCATTCATTTTGCTATCTTTATTATATCATTAAATTTTAGCAAATAAACCCTTGAGTTTTTTTCCTTTTCAGAGAGTGAAATTTTAATGTTTATAGTCATAAGAATGAAATTTTGAAATTTCATGGTTTTCCCTATTCTGTATTGTCTATAAAAATACATAATGACATTGGGATAGCCATTCCCAAAACTGGGGCTACATGAGGCTTAAGTGATTCAAAAGATCTACACATCCCTAAATCTAAAAGCTGAAATTATTAAAAATTAATTAATTAAAGGATCTACACATGCCTAGAAATACTCAAAAGCCTAGATACGCACACCTTTCCCTGCACATCACTAAAAGTTGGGCTAGCTATTAAAAGTGGATGCCGAAGGTGACCAAGTGGGTTACATTAAACAAGTATTGCTTTTGGAAAGTAGTTAGATTGGGCATTTTAAAGGTAACATAAACCCACTGTTCACAAGTTTCCTTCTATATTCAAAGCATAGCAAAGATCATGTGGCTCCATAGCACATGTGGATATGGAATAGTTATATCCTACATTTGAGTATTAGCGTGAGAGTAGGAGAATTACACATATGCAGCTGTGTTACTGGAAAGTGCATAAAATTCTGAAATCCTTTAACAATTCTGATATGTATTTTATTATTTTATTATTAATTGGCAATTTCAAATTAAGTAAGATACCTGCCTAACAGCTTTTTATTTTGGGCAGTCATTAAGACAAGTTTTGATGGCCGGCTTGTCTGACATTCGTTGTGTCTAAAACATTCTGAATTTGGCCTAAGATTTTCACCGGAACTCTCCTCTGCTTTGGACATCCACCATAAGACTAGAGTAGCGCCATGGCTCTTGTTAACTACCAAACTCAAGATACAGTTCCTGTTGCACCTAATAACAAACTTCCAAATAATGTGGAATAGCCACAGTAAATAAACTTGAAATAAATACTATGACTTAGTTTTACTGTTGGGTATGAACTAATGAGCTGAGCAGACAATTTCTATTAGTGCAGTAAAGGAATCTGAATTTGCCTATGAGTAGACACTAGAGAACTTGCCCAAGGATTAGAGTTTTAGTAGGTATTTATCCCTCAAAAGAATATATTTTAGATGACTTTATGCATTGTTCAATAGTAATGATAATGGCCAGGTGTGGTGGCTCATGCCTGTAACCCCAACACTTTGGGAGTCTGAGACAGGCAGATTGCCTGGGCAACATAGTGTAAACCCTGTCTCTACTAAAATACAAACATTAGCTGGGCGTGGTGGCATGTGACTATGGTCCCAGCTACTTCGGGGGCTGAGGTGGGAGGATCGATCGAGCCCAGAGGATTGAGGCTGTGATGAGCCATGATTGAAACCACTGCACTCCAGCCTGGGGGATAGAGTGAGACCTTGTCTCCAAAAAAAAAAAAAAAAAAAGAGAAGAAAAGAAAAGAAAAAAACAAGGTAATGATAATAGTAACTCTTCCGTTTGTATTTTAATAGTATGTCCATCTTATAGAAAGCACTTTAACATGATATATAATACATTAAGGAAGTATATCTAAATGATATTATATATTTACTTTGTTTAAAAATACCCCTAATGTTCTTCAATTTTTTGTTAAAATTCAAAGTACTTTAATATAATTTTCTGGAAGTATAGTAGGGGGACATGACATTCCTTCCTTGCCTCATTTGTGGGTTCATTCAGGAGCTTATTTTCCACTTGTCTCTTCTGATTTCCTACAATGTAGACAGCTAGATGACTCTGGATGGCAAGACCAAAATTAAGTACTGTATTTGCTGAATGCATTTTCTTGTGAAAATAATATGTCTTTTCCTTCCCATGAGGAAGATCTTTCGATTTTCCCATGAACTTGATGTGTCTTTTTTTTTAAGTTATGTTTCATTTTTGTTTGTTTGTGTTTATGCTTCTCTTGTTTCTATTGCAGTTTGGCCTTGGTATTACCAACCTACAGTTTTTACTATATAAAAGCCAAACTAGAAGAGACAATAACTCAGGCCAGATGTAAGTACTGTGAAAGTGACTTCAGGGTCCATTTGTTATCTCTTAGTACCAGATGTTTAAATACGTCTAGATTTTGGAATACCCAAGGCTTATTAAATATTTTAGTAGGTGTTATTACCAAATCTACAGCAATGATTCTAACCCATTCCAAACATGCAAGGAACAAGAAATATTCTACATGGATAGAATATGAGCAGGTACTCCAGTCTCACTGGCAGTCCCCACCGCCCTTCCCTGCCTTGCTATGTGCTCATAGAATCATTGCAGTGCTGTGTCCTGTTGCTGTCGTTTTAAGGGTCTGCTAGCTGGAGCAAAATGTTTCACATGCTACTTATCAACATAGTCTCTACTCTCATGGCACTGTGCTAGTAAAGCTTTTCCTTTTCTTTCCTTTTATTTCTTTCTGGTTATTTATTTATTTATTTATTTATTTTGCATTTGGCCAGAATAATATTGTGCTTCACATCTTCTACTTCTTCTACTTTGAATAAATTAAATTGCACTGGTCTTTGGCTTTGGTTTGGCAATTAACTTTCTTTTCGTAATCCAAATTAATGTCTCAGTAATGCAAATGGATTAATTTTTTTAAGCCTCATTTGGAATGTAGAGTAATTAATACTAGTGCATACTTCAAGTTATTGTTTATTTTGTTTTGGGTGACTAGATTTTGTAAAGTAAAATGACCATCATATCCGTTGCACATTGCCAATTATTGCTAATAACCTTAAATTTTTCTGTGAGGATGAAGTAAAAAACAAAACAATACCAAAAATATACATATATGTTTTACATCTGATCTTAAAGTAAGCTACAGTTTCTTTCATTTCTCTGTCAGTTCTTTTTTGCCCTCAGCAGGCCTGGTGTTCATAGTGTATTATACATAGTACATTTATATTTCCACTTTCACTTGATAGATAGATATGATGGTCTTTTCACAACCAGCAATTCTGCATGAGCTAGTTCTTCAATTGATAAATAAGGGGATAACTAGTGAGTTTTTTATTGGTAAATGCTTATATTTATATTATGTTTATAGCCTGACGTCATTGGTATTACACCTGCATTAATCACTTTGCAAAACAGACCCTTGAAATAACCACAGTACAGAGAGGGTAATCTAGTAATAATTGACAGGACATACTATCCAGTCTTCAAAATATGTCTTTTTTTCCCCCAGACTACAGCTGTACATAAATGAACCTTTGATCTATGCACAATATTTTTATTCAAGAACGTCATTGAATAAAATATTGTTTGTGACCCCCTTTGCTTTACCCTCTTTTTTTTTTGTTTCCCTGCTTTCTCTTTCTGATGGATTTTCACAGCAAAAAAGGGCAAAATGAAGGGCAAGTATTTTCTTGTTGCTCAATTTCTTTCTGTTTAGTACACTTGACATTTCCACTGATATTTTCCTTCCTATTGGATATTATCCTCTGTGCTTCTCATTTACTAAATTTTCCTTTATGATCACTCAAAACTTAGCAGCAAAAAAATGGTAGAAAGAATATGCTGTATTTTCATATGCAACCTGGTTCACACTCAAGTTTTTTCTTGGACTTAAGGAGTTTTGTTGTGTAGCCTTCCGCTTACTAATTCATACCTAATATGAGGAATGTTATTAATTCACTAAAGGCATTAATGAGTTTTTTTAACATTGTTTTCTGTATCATAAAATTGGTAAACTGTTTATATAAATAATTGGTCTTTAAAATACCTCTGGCATAACATTCACATCAATCACTTTTTAAAAGATATTTGGTTATAGTAGGGTTAGATCAGAAAATTATAGACATCGTATTTTCTTTAAAATAACTGTGGGGATCCATGTTATGAAATTAATCTATATTATAATGTTATTATATTGGGAAGCATTGAGGACATTTATATTCATTGATATGTTTCAATTTTAGGATGTAAGTACTCTATTTTCAATTTTTCTTATTAGATAATCTTTCTCATGCCTTATTATTATTATAGAATCTCTGGATATATACTCTGAATTATCTATCTAATCCTGTAACATTTTCTTTGCAGATTCAGAAACCCTGAAGCCAGATCATTTTGAAGAATCTGGCTATACATTCATAGCACCAAGGTTGGTTTTGTTGTATTTTTGATACATCTTGTATCAGTAGCTAGGCCTTCAGCAATAGTTCAGAATTGGGTCAAGACTGCTCTGGATTAATTCCATATCACATTATGGAATCAAAGGAAATAATTACTTTAAAACTGAAACAAAATCTTATTTATTCATTTCTTTACTCATTCAAATATGGGAGGCCAAGGCTGGCGGCTCACAAGGTCAAAAGATCAAGACCATCTGGCCAACATGGTGAAGCCCCATCTCCACTAAAAATACAAAAATTAGCTGGGCGTGGTGGCACGTGCCTGTAGTCCCAGCTACTTGGGAGGCTGAGGCAGGAGAATGACTTGAACCCAGGAGGCGGAGGTTGCAGTGAGCCGAGATCGTGCCACCGCACTCTTGCCTGGCAACAGAGCGAGATTCCATCTCAAAAAAAAAAGGCAATTACTAAGCAATGTAGACTCTGGGATACAATGGGAATAAGATGGATATAGGCTTTGCTCTTGTAGAACAACCAGTGCATCCAACAATAATAGAAAATTGTGTATTTGCACCTGTGAATATATATACACACACACACACACACAAATATACATATATAAATACACATATATGTACCAATATTTATGTGTATCTTTACACACATGGATAGAATGAGCATAATAATGGATTTTTTTAATGGTCTAATTCAACTGTCTGGGAGAAATTGTTAACAGTGGCATTGCTTTACATAGTGTTTTAGATGCACCTCATTTCTTCCTACCCAAGTTTACTTCTCTCTCATATAATCCCCCTTCTTTATCACACATGTACATCTTTTTCCCCATCTTGATTTTCTGTAATTATTTGAAACTATTCAATAATCGTAGGATGTTCTTTATTTTACTTTCTTTCCTCAGTTTTTGACTCCTACTCCATGGCAGACACATATAATATTCAAATATAATTCCCATTAATCTAGGAACAATTTACATAGAAGCTTGGATTATTAATTTTTCACTTTTCTTAAATTACTCCAAAAACCCAAAGATGCATATAAATTGTTCTGAGTTACCTTTCAATTCCTGCAAAAGGATATTTCTGGATTCTGTTTCTACTTTAACATAGGGAATATGGGTTTTTTGAGAAATCTGTGTTAACAAAGCATATTCTTGGCTTTGTGAGTGCCCCTATCCTTGAGAAACTTATCTTGCTTGAATGTCCTTTCGTGTGTGACACTGGTGATTGCGATGTCCTTTGACACTCCATGCTTTCTCTTGCTTGATGATACACTATTCTGATTTTCTTACTCCCTCTCTGGATGCATATTCACTGTCTCTTTCATGGGTTTCATTTCTTCTGCTGATCACTCATATGAGAGGGCTGCAAAGGATGCTAGCCCAAGCTCCCTTTTTATCTGAGACTGCATTCAGACCACAAGCCACCCATCTGTTCCCTGCCTACAGGTTACGTTCATAACTCCCAAAGCTATATGATGGCCATAAACATCTAGAGACAAAGACATATGTGTTTCATTAATATTTCATTAAGTTATTGAATTCTATATTGTATCTATTTTCAGACTTTATATATTTCAACATGAGACATTCATATCTCATGGAAACCAGACAAGAATATCTCTTCAATATGCTTCAGATTTAGCATCTTATAAATAATTGTTTCCTTTGGAAAGTTCTACCTGTATTGCCTCAGAGGAGAAAATGCCATCCTCCCAAATGAGCAATCTTGAAACCTGTTAGTTGTCCTTCCCTGCTTCCTTTCTCTTGTGTCTCACTTCTAATCAATCACCACGTCTTGCCCATTCTGTCTTATGAGTATCAAGTATATCTGTTAATCTCAGCTGCCTCTGCCCTAATCCAGGCCTCTGCCTTCTCTCATCTAAACTACTACATTTGCCTCTTACTTGATCTCCCTACTTTCATATTTACCCCATATTTCTTAATGCTGTCTCTGTTCTGTAACCAGAGAGAGTTTCTAAAATGTGAAAAGAAAAATCATTTTTCTCATCTTCTAAATACAGGCCAGTGGTTCTATATTATCTTTATGATTATCTGTGCTTTATATTATAGCTTTCAAATGCTCTTCCACCATGTCCTGGTGTACCAGTGTGGTCCCTCACACTCTAAACTGGGGACCATCTACATCCTGTAGATCAGCTATCAATTTTAAACATAAAGTTTTATTGGAGCACAGTGATGCTTATTTGTTTCTGGAATGTCTTTGGCTGCTTTCTCTACAAACACAGGGTTGAGTAGTTGTGGCATAGACTTTATGGGCCACAAAAGCCTAAATCACTTGCTCCATGGCCCTGTCAGGGAAAGTTTCCCTACCTCTACTCTAAATTTCAGCCATACTAACCTCTTTCAGTTCCTAAATGCACTGCTTTCTTTTCTTTGTTTCTTCTTCCTTTCTTTCTTTTTTTTTTCTTTTGCTTGGTTTCGGTTTTACCTCCTTTCTTCCCTTTTGAGCTACACACACATATATATGCATCCCACTCCTTCCGAAATCCAAACTTAAAAGTTCCTTGATGTGGGGATTTCTTTCCTTTCTTCACTGGTGTACGCATCCTTCCTGCTTCATAGAATTCTCAATTTCTCTTGGGGAGCACTGGCCACATTTTATTTACTTTCTTCAACAGACCATGACTGTCTATTTGACTTAACATTCAGTTACATTCAATGTAACATTCAGTACATTGAATCCATTGCTGGCACACAGTAGGTGCTGTATAAATACCTGGTGACTGGAGAATCTGTAAACATATAAAGAATATTCTTAAAAATTGTATCACTAATAATACCTGCAATCTTATTAGTAGTTTTTGGACGAAAGTCACTTAATTAATTTCAAGTTACTTTGAATTAGTGAGAGCAACTTTAACCCACTTTAACTAGAAAGAATTTTCTCAGTATTAAGGAGAACATTAGCTAGGAAAAAAACCAGGTCCCGCAGAATATTAACATAACAAAAAATTTAAGAAGGGATTAAATTAGGCCTGCTATGTTGGCAAGACTCTCCATCTCAGGTCTCTATTGTTCTCTACAGTTTCTTCCCTTGTCTCTCCCAGTTATTAAGTAACAGATTATGCATGTTGGTTTTCTCAGCTTCACTATAAGACAAAGTGGAAACTAGGGTAGAATCCAGATACATAAAGAAAGTATTCAATTCTAATTCCTAATTCATAGGCAATGGATTTTGTTTAATCCAGCAGGTATTAGTGTAGGAACAATTTCTGTAGTCAGTGTCACATTTCACCTTTTTTTTTTAACAATTCGAAGTTTTAAAATATATTTACATATATGTACAACTATCACTAGAGTTAATTTTAGAACATGTTCATCACTATAAAGAGAAATTAATTCTCTGACCTTAACTGTTACCTACCCATCCTTCCTCCAACCCTCCCCAGACCCACGCAAACACTAATCTATTTTCTATCTCTTACAGCTATATGCTTGTTCTAGACACATCGTATAAATGGAACAATATAATACGTGACCATTTGCATCTGCCTTATCTCATGTAGCATGATGTTTTCCAGGTTCATCCATGTTGTAGCACGTATCAGTACTTTTTTATAGCTGAATGATATCAATACAGCTGACTAGAAAACTGGAATTTATTTACGTGTTTAGGGGAGAAGAAAATACTTGAGAAGGAAGAGTATTTGGCATGTGGGACAAGCCAATGAATGTCCACTTCAGTTAACATATGTTGAGCCCTTTATGTGCTTGATTATACATATATAATATGTATAAATATATAACATATATTCAATATATATTATATATAATATATATATATAAATTATATGTGCTATTGTGAACAGTGTGTGTGTATATATGCATATGCACTTTTTTAAAAATTTTAAGTTCTGGGATACATGTGCACAATGTGCAGATTTGTTATGTAGGTATACATGTACCGTAGTGGTTTCTGTACCTATCAACAAGTCATCTAGGTTTTAAGCCCCACATGCATTAGAAATTTGTCCTAATGCTGTCCCTCCCCTTGCCCTCCAACAGGCCCCAGTGTGTGATGTTCCCCTCCTGTGTCCATGTGTTCTCATTGTTCGACTCCCACTTGTGTTAGTTTGCTGAGAATGATGGCTTCCAGCTTCATCCATGTCCCTGCAAAGGACGTGAACTCATCCTTACTATGACTGCATAGTATTCCATGGTGTATCTGTGCCATATTTTCTTTATCCAGTCTATATCATTGATCGGCATTTGGGTTGGTTCCAAGTCTTTGCTATTCTGAACCAT